GGTGTCTCTGGGGGACAGGTGTCTCTGGGGGAGGTGGGGACATGTGGACAGGTGTCTCTGGGGGACATGTGGACAGGTGTCTCTGGGGGACAGGTGTCTCTGGGGGAGGTGGGGACATGTGGACAGGTGTCTCTGGGGGACATGTGGACAGGTGTCTCCAGCACAATAAATAAATGAAATCAGGTTTAAACAGATCTTGTTTTATTCAAACATGAAATCAGAAAAAGAAAACTGAAATCTGATCCTGTGAAATGAGTCCAGTCTCATAGTCGGACCAGAACCAGAGTCCGTCCCTCTTTGGGTCCGGTCTACCTGTGGACCGGCTCCGTGTTGTCCTGCTCCGTCAGGGCGGACAGTCTGCAGTTCTCTGTGTCCACAGTGTTCAGGGGGATCATGGCTGGTTCCGCCAGGACCGTCCTGGTCCCAGAGGAACGCTGGCTGCAGGTCCTCCTCCCAGAGGTGGAGGAGATCCTCCAGAACAGGTTCTTGATCCTCCTCCTCATCTCGGGCCTCGTGAGGCAGTACAGAACCGGGTTCAGGCAGCTGTTGGTCTGAGCCAGGCACACGGTCACAGGGTAAACGTAGGTGTGGACCAGGTAGTAGTTCTGGTCCCAGTTCACCAAGTCCAGCTTCACCAGGACCCCCCAGACCGTGATGACGTGGTTCGGCATCCAGCTGAGGAAGAAGGTCAGAACCACGATGGTGACGGACCGGGTCAGCCTGGACCTCCTCCTCTGCAGGGGGGTGTTCATGCTGCGCGCGCGCACGAACAGCAGCAGCAGGACGTAGCAGACCGTGATGGTGGACATCGGAACCACGAAGGCCAGCAGAACCTTCTGCAGGTGGTACAGGGCCTGCCACAGCTGGCCCGAGATGCCCACCAGGCACAGGGTCTCACCGTCCACGTTCCGAACCGTGGAGAAGACGCTGCTGGGCAGTGTGACCGTGCCCGCCGAGACCCAGAGTCCGACCACCACCCAGCGGACCGAACACACCTTCCTCCGGGTCCGGTCCTTCAGCGCAAAGGCCACGGACCAGTACCGGGTCACGCTCATGGCCGTGAGGAAGAAGGCGGAGGCGTAAATGTTCATGACGGTGACGGACAGAACCAGCTTACACATGACGGTCCCGAAGGGCCAGCTGAAGTCCAGAGCCGTGTCCGCCGCCCAGAACGGCAGGGTCAGGACGAACTGGAAGTCCGTCACAGCCAGGTTCAGAACGAACAGGTCCACGGTGGAGCGCTTCTGCCGGTCCCGGCGCGCGCTCATTAGGAAGAAGACCAGCAGGTTCCCCAGGAGCCCCGCGGCGCAGACCACCGAGTACACCACGGAGACCAGGACCCGCAGCGCCGGGGACCCGTCCCCCGGCACGTCGATGTCCTCCAGGCTGCTGTATCGGGTCCAGTTCCGGGAGGATGTGTGGTTGAGGCTCCGCGGCTCCGCCATCCCGCCCGGTGCCAGAATCCACCAGCAGAACCCGGGTGGACCCTGACAGCTCAGCTCCCTGCAGGACGACCGGAGTCCCGGAACGCGCGCGGTTTCTTTTATGTATGTAAGCTGACCGCGGAGGCGCGCGCGGCAGGACCGAACCAGGCGGGCCTGAATCCAGATCTGCAGGATCTCAGGAGCTGAGAAATGAAATGAAATGAAATAAAATAAAGTAAAATAAAATAAAATAAAATAAAATATGAATGAGTAATTCAATAACGGATTGAAACAGTTCTCACAAAATAAATCAATGAGGAAGATTTTGATGAG